TTCCTCGGGCTCCGCTCCCCGGCCCAGCCGTCCCGGTTAACGCTCTGCTCCCCAGCTTCGGGCCAGGCAGCGCCCCGGCACAGCTCCCCGCGCCCTGCCCGCCCGGGATGCTGGAGCCTGGGGGATGCAGGAGGGCGGGCGAGGGGATGCAGGAGCTCAGGAGATGCGGGCGTGCTGGGCGGGGGGATGCCAGAGCCTGGGGTGGGGGGAGGCAGAAGCCCAGAGCAGCCCCCCGTGCCTCTTTGCTCCCCCCAGGCCCCTCCACGCCGGGCAGGCAGGGGTCTTGCCGGGTCGTTTTGGTCCTTCGTGTTCAAGGAAGCCGCTGGGTTCGTCCCCTCCGGCTCCTCAGTGGCATCTTGCTCAAGCACCTTCCCGGCAACGGCTCGCTGCTGTGGGACCTGGGGGAGCAATAACGGCCGGGGAGCTTGGGCAAGAGGCCGCGGTGCCAGCACTGGCCCTGGGGCAAGACGCTGGCTCCAGCCGGGGCACGGGGTGGCTCTGGGGAGCTCCGTGCCTGGCAGTGGGATGGGGATGCAGAGCCACAGCCTGGGGCAGAGCTGGTCCTGTGTCCAGCAACTCCTCTCCAAGCTCTTGGTTGTCGCTGGTAGCACTAATTAAACCAAAATCGGGTTTGCTTTTTTCTGCAAAAAGACACATTGTTCTGGCGAGCACTTTCCCCGAGTGAGCTCCCGTGTCTCGGCTGCATCTGCATGATGGGTAGGTAAAAGCCAACGGGATCCCGGGGCTGAGATGAAAGTCTGGGCCTTTGCTTTGTTCAGGAAAGGGATCGGTTTAAAATTTTCAAATAATTTTGCTCCTGTCTCCTTCTGGTCGCTGGATGAACAGACTAATGACAACCGGGAAAGGAAGAGGCAGCAGAGCTGCTCTCCCTGGGCACTGCTGCCGGGCAGGACGCCCCAGGCTGGAACTGCTGGAGGAAAGATTTAATCTAGAGAGTAGCAGCTCTCAGGGGCTGGGTTGCCTGCGGCGAGGAGGAGAGCCCAGGTCAGCCGGGGATGGGCTGAGAGCAGCTCCTGCCCTGGGACGGGTCAGACGCCCTTCCAAAACCCGGCTTGCTGCGGCGCGGGGGAACGCAGACCGTTCAGCAGCTCCCTTCCTTGGAAGCCACAATTAAAAACTATTTTAAAAGAAAACAAACATCTCTCATCAAAATGCCTGTTGTTCCTGGCCCACAGCTGAAGGTCTTGTCGCCGGCCAAGGCTGCTCAACACCAGCAGCTTCCCGAGCTGCCTCTGGGCAAATCCACCCGCCGGACTCTTGGGGTTCTGGCTGTGTTTGGGAATCGGCCCTTGGAAACTCTGCACCTTTTGTAGAAAGTCCGAAAGGCTGGGCTGGTGCTCCCCTGCTCTCCCCAGGGTCTTTATTTCTGGAATGGAAACGAGCTTATGGCCTCAGTGTTACGTGGGCTGTGCCCCATCCTGTGGGTGCTCCTGCGCCTATTTCGGACGGAGCCCGTGTCCCCGCGCCGCATCCCGCAGTGGCGAACGGCTTCTGGAGGGGAACGGTGCTGCTGTCAGCAGGACGATAGTAGTTGTGGTTTTAATTATTGGAGTTTAAGTTGTGCGGAGCAGAATGAGAAAGCGAGAGCAGCAAAACCGCAGGGAGAAATGCGGAAAGGACGGTCTTTGGCCGGCTGCCCGATGGGAGGTGCGGTGGGGAGGGCCCCCGCGTCCCCGCCGGGTCACGGCACGGGGCTGGGGATGGCCCGGCTGATGTCAATCTCTTCTCCCGTGACTGTCGCGCCGTTGCCCATGGCCGTCCCTTCCCATCACAGCTTGGCACGAGCTGCCGGTGCCTGAACGGCCGTGTACGGAGACAAAGCACTGCACGGAACTTGGCTGCAGGGGGACACCGAGACTAGTCGGGTCCCGCGTGGGGTCCCTGCTCTGGACACCCCTTGTCCCTGCACGTGCTGCTGGTGCCCGTCTGCGTCTGGGAGCGGGGCCGTTTCTCACGGCGTTTCCGTTCAGCCAGCACTTGAGCAGACGCCTTCGCTGCAGCGTTGACTTTCAAAGGGCTGGACCGGCTCCACAGCTGGGCAGAGCATGGCAGGAGGGTGCTTGTCCTGCTTCGGAAACACAAAACAATAAAAAAGGAACAATGGAGCCTCTTTCCCTTCACCCGAAATACCAAACGCCACCGAAACGTGGCAGAGCTCCGAGCAGCGCTGCTGGGGCAGCTCTCGTGTCCCCTGGCCCGGGGAGGGGAACTGCAGATACCTCCTCCTCCTCTTCCTCAGCCCTGGCAAGGGATGCTGCGGGAGGGCGGGTGCCAAGGAGCGTCGCCAAAGGGCTGCCCTGACCCGCCGTTGCTGCCAGCAGGCATTGCCAGCTTCGGAAACCACGTCTGGGCCAGGGCAGTAGTTTCACAGCCTTGGGGAAGGATTCTGCACGCTGCCCGGGCTTCCCGGGTCAGCTGAACGCGCTTCGCAGCCTGCCCAGGGGCTTTCTAAAAGCATCCACGTACCCAGACTTGCCTAACACAGAGAACACGTTCTGTTGGCGCCCGCATGGTGCTGAGTGTGGGGAGATGCTCAGCCAGAGCCAGGAGCCCTGGGGCGGGGACGGATCCGTGCCTGGCTGGAACCCCCACCCCGAGCCCTGCCGCTGCCAACAGCTTTTCAATGCGCGGCTGCCGTGGGCGCTCCGGGACGTGGGGCTGGAGCACCCTGAGGGGCTGGGGCTGAGCACCCCACGCCTGCAGGGCCCGAGGGGGGGGTTTGTTGAGCTGTGAGCGGCCGGTACCAGCCCATACCCGCCGGCACTGCCCGTGCTTTGCCCGCTGGAGGCTGCCAGCACCGTGCCGGCCCTGCCGAGGAGCTGCCGGCCCAGCGCACAAGCCCTCGCGGGTGAAACATCCTTCGCACGGTCCCAGCGAGCACCCGGCACCCCGGCCAAGCACATCTGGCTGAAAGCTGTGGGAGCTGCCCCGGCAATGAGGACACCAGTCTGGAAAAGCTTCCCTCCCAGCGAGATTCCCCCATCCTGTCCAGGCTCCTCTGCCGGCACCATCAGCGGGTGCCGGGCCGTGGGCTCTGCAGCGGGATGGTGCCCGGGGCTGGGGCTGGAGGGGGCACGGGCCGGCCTGCGCCTGGGCTGAGGGTGCTGCGGCACGAGGTGGTGCGGAGTGTAGCCGGGCACCCTCACTGCCCTCCTGCAGCAGGGCAGGAGACAAACCCCGGCCTCGCAGGGACCACCAGCCACCCTGGGGGGGTGAACGTGTTCAGTCCCTCAGGCTTGACCCCGGTAAGGCACACACGGGACCTCGGCTCCCGCCAGCGCGCACCGTCGGGACACCAGAGTCCCGCTCGCCCGCGGGAGGAAGCGGAGCTGGAGGAGGGCAAGAGCTGGGCAAGCTCCTTCCACCCTCCGCCACTAAAGCTCCTGCAGCCCCTCGGAGGGGTCTGGCCGTGGGGCTGTGGCTGGGACCCGGGCTCTGGGCGATGTGGAGTCCGTCTGCGGCCAGCGCGG